GGTTGCGGCCCCAAGACCCAGGGAAAGCACAGCAGCCATGCTGGGATGGGGAAGGACAGCTGGGCGAGATGCTCGCCGGGGGGTTAGGGGTGGTGAGCGGAGATTAGTTGGCGTTAGAGGCCAGAGGAGAAGGCAGAGCAAGAGCCAGGCTGCTTACAAGCCACCGCGTGCGCCCTGTGGACGGCTCAATGTCCCAGGTGAGCTCCGACACCAGGCAAGGAGGAGGGGCAGCCACCACCACGTTCCTACTACCCCCATGTTCCCACCACCACGTCATCCCCACCATATCATCCCCACCACCACCACGTCATCCCCACCACCACCTTGTCCCACCACCACCACGGCATTCCCACCACCACCACGGCATCCCCGTGCTCCACGTGCCATGAGCGTGGGTTACTGGGGTTAGTGGTGAGCAGATGTGTTAAGAGTGGACATGCATGCTTGGGGTGTCAGGATGCGGCTCCGCACCCCGATTCTGCCCCAAACCCGACCAAGGATGTGGGGCACAGCCAGATCCCCATGGGGACCTGAGCCTGGTGGGGTCACCAGCTCCAGGTGGCACTGGGAAGCCACCACTGCCTGGGGTCAACCAAGAGCTCTCCAAGCCCGTTCCTTGCCGTGCCAGGATGCGTCCTCCCCTTGGCACGTGGCAAACCTTCTCCCATGGGGCAGGAGCACTGTTTCGGGTGCCAGTGAGGAGGGTCCCCACAAAGGGAGACGTGGTGGTACCGGAGAGCTTCCCTGGCTCCCCAGGGAGCTCTTACCGTCTGTGTGCACCCGCATGGCCGAGGCCGTGATGTCGGTCGTGACGTTGAAGTAGGGGAGCCACAGGTCCTGTGGGGACAAGATGGGGTGGGTGACGCTGTGGGGACGTTGGTGGGTGGGGAGCTGGCTCAGAACCCTCGCCACGGGCAGGTGAATTCCCGGGGAGGTCCATGTGACGCACCTCAATCTGCTTGTCCTGGAAAACCTTGTTGATGCTGGCATTGAAGGCTGAGCCCGAAAACATGGAGGTGATGGGGTAGGTGAGGTCCAGAACAGTCTCAAACACTGAATTCATGCACTGGAGGAAGAGAAGGAGGAGAAGGACGAAGAAGGAGAGAAGGAGGAGGAGAAGGAGGAAGAATAAGAAGGAGAGAAGGAGGAGGAGGAGGAGGAGGAAGAATAAGGAGAGAAGGAGGAGGAGGCGGAGGAGGAAGAATAAGAAGGAGAGAAGGAGGAGGAGGAGGAGGAGGAGGAGGAGGAATAAAGCTGCTGCCCAGCGAGCCCCGAGGACAAGCTGCTGAAAGCCCCGAGTTCATGGGGCACAGCCCCGATTCGGGCTTCCTGCACCGCAGCACCACTGAGCTGGGCTATGGCCCGGACTCCTCCTGCTCAGGGGGTGAGGAGGAAGAAGAAGAAGAAGAGGAGGAGGAGGAGGAGAAGGAGGAGGAAGAATAAGGAGAGAAGGAGGAGGAGGAGGAGGAGGAGGAAGAATAAGAAGGAGACAGAAAAAGGAAAGAAGAATAGAAGAAACAAGCAGCGGCAGAAGAAGAAAAGAAGAGAAGAAGGTGGAGGAGCAGGAGGAGGAGGAAGAAGAAAGAGGAGGAAAGAAGAAGAAGGAGGAGAGGAAGAAGAGGAGGAGACAAGGAGAAGGAGAAAGAAGAAGCAGCAGAAGAAGAGGAAGAAGAAAAGGAGGAAGAAAAAAAAGAGGAAAGAGAAAAAGAGGAAGAAGAAAAGAGGGAAGGAGATGCTTTAGCAACGCCTCCGGCAGGGCTGGCCACGGGCAGGGCAACCACCGTGCCAGCGTCCTCCCGAAACAGCGATGGTCAGGGTTTGATGCGGGTGGGGCGCGGGACGTGCCCCGCGGCGTAGAGGGCGCCGTTGAAGGCCCCAAGGGAGGTGCCACCCACCATGTCGATAGGGATCCCCGACTCCTCCATCGCCTTGATCACCCCGATGTGGGAGCAACCCCTGAATGGACGGAGAAAATAAAGAGGAGGATGGATGAGACTGGGACCCCCACCCCGCCGGGTCACATCCTGCCATGGCGCAGCACCCACCTGGCTCCACCACCCCCCAGGACAAGGGCGATGGTGTTGCCGGTGAGGACCCGTGCCAACCGGGAGAAGTCGCTGTGCCGGTCGGCGCTCTTCTCGAACACCTTCTCGTACATCTCCCGCTGCGGATGGCATGGACGATGGGTGACGATGACGGTGGTGGACCACCAAGGGTCACCCAGGGGAACACATGTACCAGTTTGGTGGGGCTACGGCGGGAGAAGACGCGTCGGGGACACTTGATGTGGAGGTGACCCGAGCACCAGCTGCGCATGTTGAGCCACTCAACGGTGCGGGAAGGGCTGGGACCATCCTCGCGGTGTAGGAGGACCAACTGCTTCAGCGCACGCACCGCCGTGTTCTCCAGCATCTGCTCCAGCTGTAGAAGCCATCAGCCACCCTGGCACGGCATTGTCCCACCACCACCTACCCCCCGACTCACCTCTCCCAGCGCCGGTTCTTGATCGCCCAACCCTACGATGAGGATGCAGTCGGCTTGGCGGATGCAGCGCACGGTCCACGGCGTCAGGGTACAGTCGGTTTGGTACAGGACGATGCGGTGGATGTCCTCTTGCTGCGCCAGCCAGCCCGACAGGCGGTACTCCTGGATGCTGCCGAGGTGGAGGGGTCAGCCGGCGGCACGGTGGTGGGTCGCTGGTGATGTTCCTCCCGATGGGAGTTACCTGTCCAGTGCCGAGGAGCCGAGACGGGCACGGATGATGTCGCTGGTGAGGAGCAGCGTGGGACCTGGGAGAGGTGGGGACAGGGTCACTGGTTTGCCATGGGGCTGTGGTCACCACCATGCCACGGGGCTCTGGTCATCACCATGCCGTGGTCACCACCATACTATGGTTGCTACCACACCATGGGACTGTGCTCCCCACCATGCCACAGGGCTCTGGTCCT